TTAGAAAGTTGTTCATACAAAATTTTTAGGATCCTAGCTTTAAGAGTTTTTCCAGATGGATCTATTGCTAGTTTATTCCTAAAAGTTTATATGGACCTTAAAGTTGCTCGTGCAAAATACTAGTCCTATCTTGGCGCCCACCTTGAAACTATACCAGGCTATCATTGAGACAAGACAATTTCTTAAGGTTCTCACTGGTAATGGTAGGAAAAAATATTACCATTTCAATGCATTCCTCGCTTCATGGTCGCGTAGTCACATCACAGATATGATATCACTCTCTCCACACCCTTACTGCTGAGCAGTATAAGGTTTGTTAAGGGTGTCGATATTAATATCTTAATTATGCAGAATATTTCATATCATTGAACTTTTGGCCTTGATCTAAGCATGTCCCTCTTCGAACAAAATTAAGGTTAACCTTTGGTCAAACACCACTAACTAAACATTAAAAATCTAAATATTTTCCTAATTTAATATTCAATGTCATTGATTTCTTAAAACAAAATATAAAAAATAAACACTACTCACTATAGATTTTATCTTTCTACTTCATCCTTTACAGGTATCGTCAGACACGTTTTAGTTCTCGGCGTGTACGAAAACGTGTGATATTCAAACATGGTGACTGTAATGTGGTACAAGGAAATGTGGCCAAAAGAAGACGAAGATATCTACAGGTAAGTTAAAACACACATACACACGAACACAAACTCTTGCAAAAAAAAAGCTGAACAAACCATAACATAATCTAGGAATATGAAGCTCTGGGAGTTGGTAGAAAAAAATAAATTTCAGCAGTGCAAGCAATTGATACTGTTTTACCTTGAGAAATAAATGAGATGGTTAAAGGAATCTTACTTACATTTGAATTGTAGTATTTTTCCAAAGTGCAAATATTTATGCGTATTTATAAGATTTGTATTTAAATCTTGTTGTTTTGTTATACCCTACACCACTATTGTGGGTTTCTGTTGATGTTCGTAACACAAAATAATCAATTGACCCCCAAGTAAACATATAATCCAAATTTTAAATATACTTATAAACGGTGGGTTAATTGTTAGAGTTCTAATCTGTTGGACCAGATGTTGCCCGGTGGAGGTCTAAGTGTAGTTTTTGTCGATTTTGAGGTAACACACATCATCCTTTCAAACTAACTTAATAACTACAACCGATGTAGTGAATCATAAAATCGACCATGCCCGCCTATACTTTCTTCCTTACTTTATTCTTATTTGTTTCCAAGTCTTTAGTCTTTTTTTCTCTAGGGTTTTTTCCTCTTTTGATTTGAATTGTTAAATAAACCCTAGTTACACAACATGAATTGAGTGGTGGAATTTCTACAAAGTATGTAGTTTGAAGTGTGTCCTTTTTGAAAAGAACAAAAAGATTTTATTTTAAATATCTTTATATATTTTTATACCTAAAATAAGTTTCTTTTTTATTAAATGGATGTAGCAATTGAAGTTGGAAATGCTGAAACAGATCAAATAATCCTATTAAGTAATATTATTTTTGTAATATAATAAATTTATTGATGTTTAATTATATTTTTATTAAGGAATTCCAAATACAGTTTGCCTGTAATGCGTGGGAGTAACTAATTAAATAACTAGAATACTTTAAGCATTCTACTTAATGATTTATGTCTATCTATGACGTGTAATTTCTCCTAAAACCCTCAAATAAATATGTGTAAATAAGTATATAGGGAAAATTTTCTTTAAAACAATAAAAAAAGGAAACTGTTATACAAAGCTTTCGCATAGAGTTATAGCCAACCAAAAAACAGTTTTTATAATAAAACCAGTTTTTATAATAAATGCCAGTATTTTATGTGAATCAAGGTTTTACAATAAAACAAATTTGTGTATACTAAAAAGTAGGTATTATACTAAAAACTAGATTTCATACTAAAACCAGTATTTTTTTTAAAAACCAATATATATACTACAGTTGATATAGTTAGTTATTTAGTTAGTTAGTTAGTTAGTTAGTTAGTTAGTTAGTTAGTTAGTTAGTAGTAGTTAGTTAGTTAGTTAGTTAGTTAGTTAGTTAGTAGTTAGTTAGTTAGTTAGTTAGTTAGTTAGTTAGTTAGTTAGTTAGTAGTTAGTTAGTTAGTTAGTTAGTAGTTAGTAGTTAGTTAGTTAGTAGTTAGTTAGTAGTAGTTAGTTAGTTAGTTAGTTAGTAGTAGTTAGTTAGTTAGTTAGTTAGTAGTTAGTTAGTTAGTAGTTAGTTAGTAGTAGTTAGTTAGTTAGTTAGTTAGTAGTTAGTTAGTAGTTAGTTAGTAGTTAGTTAGTAGTTAGTAGTTAGTTAGTTAGTAGTTAGTTAGTTAGTTAGTTAGTTAGTTAGTTAGTTAGTTAGTTAGTTAGTTAGAGTAGAGTTAGTTAGTTAGTAGTAGTTAGTTAGTTAGTTAGTTTTAGTTAGTTAGTTAGTTAGTAGTTAGTTAGTTAGTTAGTAGTTAGTTAGTAGTTAGTTAGTTAGTAGAGTTAGTAGTTAGTTAGTAGTTAGTTAGTAGTTAGTTAGTTAGTTAGTTAGTTAGTTAGTTAGTTAGTTAGTTAGTTAGTTAGTTAGTTAGTTAGTTAGTTAGTTAGTTAGTTAGTTAGTTAGTAGTAGTTAGTTAGTTAGTTAGTAGTTAGTTAGTTAGTTAGTTAGTTAGTAGTTAGTTAGTTAGTTAGTTAGTTAGTTAGTTAGTTAGTTAGTTAGTTAGTAGTTAGTTAGTTAGTAGTAGTTAGTTAGTTAGTTAGTTAGTTAAAACTAGTTATCATACTAAAAATCACTTTTCATACTAAAAACCAGTTTATACTAAACACCAGTTTTATACTAAATCCTATTTTCATACTAGAAACCAAAACCCTTTCTTATCCTAAAACCCTTTTTTATACCACTTTCTTTACTAAATTTGTGGTGGTTTGCAATTGTATGAAGATTTATTACTAAATATGGCAAACAGTCAGTGCGACTCCTTATTACCAAGGCAACTTAACACATAACTACGTAGTTTATTTTATTCAAACAAATTTGTTGAATTATTATTTTGTTTTTACATTTCTTTTGCTTCAACAAAATAATATAATTGTCTCAAATTACATGTGAAAAAACAAATCTTAAATCTTTTTTCATCATCTTTGTTTTTGCGGATTTTGTTTTACTTCCAAGAACTACGTAAAGAAAAAGTATTATAAATCTTTTTTTAGACATCATTAGGATTTAGCTTTGCTACGCAATTCTTTTTTGCTATTTTTTTACTCTATTAGTGGACAAATAAAGATTCGCACTTTTGTGTATTTTTAGGTTTTTCCTTTTTCTCTAAGAAGGGTGAAAAAGCCTGGATTTTAGTGATATTTATGTAGGTGTTAAGTTTTATGTTGCAATAAGGTTTTGTGCAAATGTTTGAAATACTTAATATTTATTTGGTATTTACTTACTGGAGGTAAGTAAGACATTTCCCAGACAATTATTGTTAGTATTTATGTTTTAAGTCGTCTGGTATGGATATTTATATTTACGTTCTAATATTTGCGAATTACAAATTAAGAAAATTCAAAAAAGCTTAGAAACTGATAACGCCTAGTCTAGTATTTCCAGTTTGGACTAGAAGTTTAGAAAAGGATGTAAAATTTTAAAAGTTTAAATTTCTTAACAGAATCATTATTCTTTAATAACATTCTGACTACTTCCTGTTACATACGCACATATACATATAAATGTAATCTACTTATAAATTACTTTTTAAAACCCCTTTATTACAATTTCGACATGTTGCCTGTCACCTGTAATTACAGTCTTGATTAATGCCACTTGCCTCCAATGTGTTTAACACTGCTTTAATACAAATTATATTCAAGTGTTATTAATAGTGTTATAATCTTTATTAATATTAATTTGATCTGTAAAATAATTTCAATTTTAAATTAGATTTCAATTTATTCTCCACTAGATTTGTTCGATTCTAATTTGAAATAATTTTGTGGCAGTTGACCTTTTGGGCAAAATTTAATCAGATTTTTTATTCTATTGACACAAAAGGCTAGTTTTTTGCAAAATACAAACATACGTACATATCTATGTTTGTACGTATGTATGTATATTTTGCTGTTGTTGGCTATTTGTTTCTGTTAATTAATACAAAATTGAATATATTGAATTACATTTACAGTTTGTTTTGTTTTTGTATAAACAGAATAGATTTCTACGACTGATTATGAAATAGTTTTTTTTAATATCATTATAAATTATGCAATTTTTTCCGAAACAAAACGTATGAAGTAAAAGTATGAGAATTATAAAAATTCCTTGAAATGTGATAGGTGTTGATGAGTTTTTATTGCGTAGTTTAGAGCGGAGGGAAAATGTTTGCAGAAATAATAAAGTGAACAGTTTTCAATAGAATTTCATAGTTTTTATACTAAAAACCAGTTTTTATACTAAAAACCAGTTTTTATACTAAAAACCAGTTTTATACTAAAGACCAGTTTTTATACTAAAAACTAGTTTTTATACTAAAAACCAGTTTTTATACTAAAAACCAGTTTTTATACTAAAAACCAGTTTTTATACTAAAAACCAGTTTTTATACTAAAAACCAGTTTTTATACTAAAAAACAGTTTTATACAAAAAACTAGTTTTTATGCTAAAAACCAGTATATATACTAAAAACTAGTTTTTATACTAAAACCCAGTTTTTATACTAAAAACCAGTTTTTTAATACTAAAACCCGTTTTTTATACTAAAACCCGTTTTTTATACTAGGAACCAGTTTTAATACTAAAAACCAGTTTTTATACTACCAGTTTTATACTAAAAACCAGTTTTTATACTAAAACCCAGTTTTTATATTAAAAACTAGTTTTTATACTAAAAACCAGTTTTTATATTAAAAACCAGTTTTATACTAAAAACCAGTTTTTATACTAAAAATCAGTTTTTATACTAAAAACCAGTTTTTATACTAAAAACCAGTTTTTATACTAAAAACCAGTTTTTATACTAAAAACCAGTTTTTATACTAAAAACCAGTTTTTATACTAAAAACCAGTTTTATACTAAAACCAGTTTTTATACTAAAATTTTGGAAAGGGCAGCTGCACTTTCTTCTGGCGAGTTAGTGGTAACTTCCTTGATATTAGGATTTGACTCCTCAACCTTATCAGTAGTGGCTACTGATGCTGTGTTCTTAGGTTTTTTAGTGTCCTTTTCGGGGCTTGTTGTAACAGCCCTTCCAATCGGCACCTTCCCAATTTTGAATATGACAGCTTTAGAAGCGAAGTAAGCCCTACCTTTATTCTTGGCAAGACTAGCCATGGAATTCTTGTCGATCCTATTACAAATAGAGTTCCCTCAGGTTCTTCTTTTCTATAAAAGACATCCCATTTTTCCACAGCCAGCTCAGCATTTTGATCTCCAAGAATTTCGAGTATACGTTCATTAGACAGTTTACTGCCCCATACTTTTATGTAGACAGTGGACTTTGAGATCACCGGAAGTTCACTCTTATTTGCCAGTCCCAGCTTAGCGCCGTCCCAGGGAAGAGAGATACTTTCCACCAAATTCTTTAGGGTGCTAACACATTGGTGAGATGCCAACCTCATCAACGTCACGCCCACGCTGAACTCACAGCTCACGCTCTTTATTGGGTAAGGGGCAAACAACCCTTTGAAGCGATTGCGTAGTCCACTATTTTATTGTTCACCAGATCTTCTACCCTACTCTGCTGGTCTATTGGAATTTTGCCTGTCGGATTACCGTCACCGTAAACTGCATAGTAGAGATCGTCCCGGTGTCTTCTTCTGGCAACTTTGACGTAAGATGGCGGCTCTTTTCCTTTTCCACCGTCTAGCTTCTCCTTCCTCGTTTTTCGGGACTTCTTTTGAGATACCCTTACCTTCGAGGTTGGTTTTGCCGACGTGTTCGTCTTCGAAATATCTGGCTTGGCGTTGTCAACATTACTCGCAGGATTCTGACTTGAGGTTCCTTTGAGTGAAGTATGGCTTGGCTTTGACTGCGTATTAGAAGACGGGAAGCTTTTTTTCATCTTAGGTTTATTCTTAGTTGTCAACTCTTCTGGAGACCTGATCCTCTTTGCCCCAGATCTTGTGAGAGAGTCCGACTTTTCTTTAGGAGTGTCGTGGGCTTGACTAACTATAATATCCTGAAGCATTTTTTTCAATTTCCTCCTCTGTGATCCAAATAGTCTTTTCTTAGTTAGCTATGCTATCACTTACCTCTTTCACCATTAGCTCTACTTCATCCTTCTTGGGATTTGCTTTAATGGTGTTGTTATTATCATCTGAGGATTCAGCTCTCTCCGAGTACATCCTTCTCTTTCACCCCTATATTTTTGCCAATGGCATGCTGTACATTTGACGCATTGTCCGCCACGGAGGCCAAGGTACCCACCTCCGTAGTAGTATTTTGCTCACGATTGCAGGATGACGACGACACGTGACTCGTGTGTGGATCAACACTTGCCGTCGGTACTGGGTTATTTAGGCCCTGCACCGTAACTTTTATCTTTTTATTTTTATTTTCCATGTTGTTTTTTTACAGTTTTTTTTGGTCCGCGGGGAATATAATATTCCCAGGTGGTGGACAATCACCAGTTTTTACACTATAATCCAATGTTTATATGTATTCAAGCCTGCTTTTATACTCAAACCAGCTTTTATACTAAAAACTAGTTTTTTACTCTAAAAACACGATTATATAATAAAAACCCTTTGTTATACAGAAAAACCAGATTTTGTTTTAAGAATTCGGTTTAAAATTTTTGTACTAAAAACCTGTATTTATATTTAAAATCCTTCGGAATAGAGACCCGTCTTACACACATTTATTGTTACAACTTCTTCAAAGATCATGTTTTGTTTTGTGATCTATGATTTTTCAAAAATTAAGATTCTTTTCCTGATTTAATATATTTTTTTCATCATCAATTTTTTAATGTTTCTTTTTTAAAATCCATTTTTCTTTCTCCTTACAGGACATTTTCACCACCCTCGTCGACGCCCAATGGCGTTGGACCCTCATGGTGTTCGCCTTCAGTTTTCTCATATCCTGGGCATTTTTCGGTCTCATCTGGTGGACGATAGCCTATGCACACGGTGATCTCGAATGGATACAAATGCGCGATCAGCAACCTGAATTAATACAAAATATGACACACACTATGTGTGTGACCGAAGTACGTTCATTCATATCAGCATTTCTATATTCGATTGAGACTCAACACACAATCGGTTACGGTAATCGTTTCATAACCGAAGAGTGTCCCGAGGCGATATTCACAATATGTCTTCAATGTATAACGGGTGTATTTATACAAGCATTTATGGTGGGCATTGTCTTTGCCAAACTATCGCGGCCGAAAAAACGTGCCCAAACTCTATTATTCTCACGCAATGCGGTGATATGTCATCGGGATGGTGTGCCGTGTTTGATGTTTCGTGTGGGCGATATGCGTAAGTCTCATATAATTGAGGCTCATGTGAGAGCACAGATAATAAGGAAGAAGGTAAGGGAGAGACACATTTATATATTTTTGAAATATTTAATTAATTGTTATCTTGTATTTCTCTCGTAGGTCACTAAAGAAGGTGAAATTTTACCCTTTTATCAACAAGAACTTACAGTGGGTGCCGATGGTGGTGAAGATCGTTTAATGTTTATTTGGCCAACTACTATAGTGCACAAAATAGATCGTCATAGTCCTTTGTATATGTTGTCAGCGTCCGATATGTTAAAGGAAAGATTTGAGGTGGTTTGCATGCTGGGTAAGTTGTATTTTTATAAAAAATTGGAGAATTTAAATCAATAACATTCATATTTTATTTATATATAAAGAGGGTGTTATTGAGTCCACTGGCATGACCACTCAGGCTCGCAGCAGTTTCTTGCCTTCGGAAATCTTATGGGGTCATCGTTTTGTAAACGTTGTTTCATTCCGCAAAGAAACCGGAGAATACGAAGTCGACTATACTTTATTCAATAATACCTATGATGTGGATACACCTTTGTGCTCAGCCAAAGAATTAGATGATCTTAAAGAAGAATATACCAAAAATAATAAAGCAGGTTTAGGTATGAATAAATGCAAATATATACCAATTAAATTACCATTTATAATAATAAAATTTTCCTTTTAGATCGCGCTTTATCCGTAGGCTTAATAAAACACATTTCTTCCGCTGCCTCTGTGGATCATTTGGATCCGGCTAGTGATGAATCTTTAGATTCTGGCCGCCTACATATACGCTCAAATTCCATTCCAAATGGTGCTTTGGCAGCTGAACTAGAACCATTAAATAATAATAAACCCTCATTTGCGGTGGGTGGTTCAACCATTATACCAACCATAACCACAAATTTCCAAAGTATTAATGAGTTAAATAATTCCAATACAAATTTAACATCGCTATCCAAAAATAATAACAACAATAATAACAATAATAATAATAGCACAAACAATGTACACAGTAGTAATAGTAGTCTAAAGAAATCCACCAATTCCCGACGTCTTTCCATAAAACAAGATCAGCTTCCTTTAGATTCATTATGCTGATATTTAAGTAAAGTTTTAAAGAAATTATTTTAAAATTGAAATTTCTATTTGTATTATTTTTATTAGTTTTTTGCCTTTTTGTTCGAAATTATTGTTTTCAAGTTGTTTGTCTTTTATTTTTGGATATTTGTGCTGAAGAAGAAGGTGATTTGAAAAACGAACTTTAATCGGGAAAGTTTGAAAAGTCGGATTTAATTAAAACCATACTTTGTTTTTATTCTGAAAAGTTGTTTTTAGGCTAAACCCCATTTTTTGCGAAGCGAATTTAATTCTAAAAGTAGTTTTTATACAAAAAAAAACAGTTTTTATACTAAAAACCAGTTTTTATACTTAAAACCAGTTTTTATACTTAAACCAGTTTTTATACTAAAAACCAGTTTTTATACTAAAAACCAGTTTTTATACTAAAAACAAGTTTTTGTACTAAAAACCAGTTCTTATACTTAAAACCAGTTTTTATACGAAAAACCAGTTTTTATACGAAAACCCAGTATTTATACTTAAAACCAGTTTTTATACGAAAAACCAGTTCTTATACGAAAAACCAGTTTTTATACGAAAAACCAGTTTTTATACGAAAAACCAGTTTTTATACGAAAAACCAGTTTTTATACGAAAAACCAGTTTTTATACGAAAAACCAGTTTTTATACATAAAACCAGTTTTTATACGAAAAACCAGTTTATATACTAAAAACCAGTTTTTATTCGAAAAACCAGTTTTTACACTATTCTAAAAACCAGCTTTTATACAAAAAACCAGCTTTTATACTAAAAAATAGTTTTTATACTTAAAACTATTTTTATACTAAAAACCTGTTTTATACTAAAAACGTGTTTTCATACTAAAGGCCAGTTTTTATACTAAAAACCAGTTTTTATACTAAAGACCAGTTTTTATACTAAAAACTAATTTTTATACTAAAAGCCAGTTTTTATACTAAAAACCTGTTTTTATACAAATAACCAATACAAACTGCTTTTTATAATAAAAACCGTTTTTTATGAAAGACAGTTTTTATACTAAAAACTGGTTTTTATGTTGTTTTATACTGAAACTGATTTTTATACAAAAACTGGTTTTTATACTAAAATCAGTTTATTGTACTAAAAACTGGTTTTTGTACTAAAAACTTGTTTCTATACCAAAAACTGGTTTTTATACTTAATACTGGTTTAAACACTAAAAACTTGTTTTTATACTAAAAATTTTTTTTAATAATAAAAACTGGTTTTTGTACTAAAAGCTGGTTTTTATGTTAAAAACTGGTTATTGTACTAAAAACTGGTTTTTGGTACTAAAAAGTGGTTTTTATTTTAAAAACTTGTTATTGTACTAAAAACTGGTTTTTATACTAAAAACTGGTATTTATACTAAAAACTGGTATTTATACTAAAAACTGGTTTTTATACTAAATACTGGTTTTTATACCAAAAACTGGTTTTTATACTAAAAACTGATTTTTATACTTAAAACTAGTTTTTATACTAAAAACTGGTTTTTAAGCTTAAAACTGTTTTTTGTACTAAAAACTGTTTTTTAAACTAAAACCTGGTTTTCATACTAAAAACAGTGTTTTATACTAAAAATTCGTTTTATACTGAAAACAGCTTTTTGTACTAAAATCTGAAGTTTTGAGCGAAATCAAATTCACAAAACCCTTTTTCAAAACATGTTTCTTTTCAGCATAATATTTCTTTTAAAACTCTTATCCTTAAAGTCCTTTTATTATTGGGACATTTAAAGATTAAATGCCATATTTTTAATTTATAAGTTTAAGTCTAATGAAAACAAGAAAGAATTTATAATTGATATTAAGCCACAAATCATTATATATTAAAAAAAAAACATAAATATTTTTTAAACTAATTTTTTTTGTTAAAAAAAGGTTTTAATTAAATATATAATTTTCTTTTCAAATTATTACTACATAAGTAACGTCAAAAATTGTGATTGTCTACATATAGAAATTTATAATAATAAAAAATTTTAATAAAAAATATAATTAAATTGCACAAAAGCGCTTTAAATAAAACACTGAAATAAGCCTATTTTTATAAAAAACGTTCTCAAGAAATAAAAAGTAACAAAACCTGAAAATAAAGAGATTTTTCAAACACCTAAAAAATAAACATTTCAACATTTTTATTCAAATTGCTTTTAATGAAAATTTATTACAACAAAAAATGTTTTTTTAATTAACTTTTTATCCCCATAAAGCGCTATAACTACACAAATTATTAAAAAACGAATTTATAAAAAAGAAAACATTTTTTTGGTTTATTTTATTAGTTAATTAATAAAGAAAAAAGTCTTGCCTCATTTTTTTATGCAAACAAAAAATTGTCCATAGAAAAATTATATATTTTTTTGTTATATAAAAATAATTCAAATTGTAAAAAATTTAATAATTGTAAATTTAAATGAACAGTAAAAAAGTGTGCTATATTTTTTAGAAAAAAAAAAATTGTAAAAAATAATTAATTATATTTACACAACATATTTTTCTAAATGGACAATAAAATGTGAATGAAAACCTAAACTAATGAAATAATTGTAAAAAATGTAAAATTTGAAAAATTACTGAAAAAAACATATTGTTTTAAATTTAAGTGAAAAAAAGATGATGATATACTATATGAAAAAACAACTATTTTTAAAGAAATATATTTTAAATAAAAAAACACAAATCAATTATATAAAAGACGTAAATTATACGAAAAAAAATCTTTGAAGTTTTAATTAAAGAAGTTATGAAAACAAAAGACTTAAGTAACAAACCTTTAGTAGGTGGATAGTATATAGGTAGGTTGTTGAGAAAATTTATAAGATTTGTTTGATACTAATAGACAATATCGGTCGAATAGAAAAAATATGAATAATATGTCCTTCTGTCCGATAAAAATTATAAACAGATATTTTTTGTTTCGAATCTTTTTTTGAAAATAATTCGGTATCACGGAAGCTATTGTAGATATCACAACGAAATTTCATATGGTTGGAGATAAGCGTTTTCAAGTTAGTAGATTGAGGGCTCGAGGGGGCACCCTCGAAATTGTTTACCTCGGGTCACAACCTAGAATCATGAAATTTTGACAAGAGATGTGTTTTTGGTTATGTAGATTCACTAAGGAGGGATTTTTACAAATTTGTACATTTAGGGGTAATCAGGGAAAAAAATGAGTAAAACAGGTTTTATTAATTATCTCTCACAATATTAGTGAAACAAGAAAAATGAGCAGATGGGTGTCTGGTACTTTTTTGAAATTCGTACTTTTAAGGGGTGAAAATGTGTAATAAATGTGATTTTGGTACCTTTTTTGGATCTTTATAACTTTTTAACTAATAAACATAATACAACTTTTATAAATATTTTGGATATATCGTCCAAAATTATTAGATACCTGTTTCGTATTTTTTTTTAAATTCAGTCCTTTTTGGGTGTAAAAGGGACATTAAGAAAACTTTTTCGATTAAATTACGTACTAACTCTGTAATATTTATTGAAACGAAGTATTTGCTATTTCACTGAGGAAAAAAAGTACCAAAATGGGGGAAACGAGAAATTTAATTTATTCAAACTCATTGAGGCAACTTTTACAAAATTTGAAAAAATTGTTAATTTACTCATACAAAATATGCAATTGGTATAATATTTTAGAATTCGGGTACTTAGGTCTATATAGGACCAAATTCGGGTAAATTGTTTGGTACTTTTTGAAAGCACAATTTTTTCTGTAACAAATGAATGCAGATTTGAATCGTTTGAGTTTTATCTGTGATATAGAGATTTAAACACGGAATATTTAGTAAAGTTAATTCACAAAAAAGTCTATACCTACGCGAAAAGGAGGCAAATTGAACTCTTTTTATTAGTACTTTACACAAAGATATCAATAATACAAGTAAGAAAGTATAGTCGGGCGTGGCCGACCATATGATACCCTACACCAGTTATGAATATTAAATGTGATTTATTTTTCATAATAAAGCATTTATCTTCAATAATAATAATCCATGTAAACCTTGTGCGCAAGGTACAGGTTGCAATTTTCAAGATAATTGGATGAAATTTGGCACGCACGTTTTATTTGAAGGACGAAGCCTATTGAAAATGGTTAAAATCGGTCCATTATTTCACCTAGCCCCCATAGAACAGAACCCTCCGAAAAGGTCTTATGAGCTCATAATTATGTTAAATATACAGATATATCGATAAATTACGGCACAACTAAGTTTTATAGAAGTCTTGATGACCCTGCCAAATTTCATAAAGATCGGGCCCCATTTGACCCTAGCTCCCATACAAAGTCCCCTTCAGAAAATTACTTGAATGTCCCAAATTAACTTATAAACACAAATATCGCGATGAAATTCAGCACAATAAAATATTATGTAAATATATTCACAAAATTTTATCGGGCTTGGTCCATATTTGCCCCTAGCCCCCATATAAAGCCTCTTTCAGAAAATTAGTTTTTCATCCATAAATTGCTTAAATGTATCGGAACAAGGCTTAATCGACTCAGAAAACGATTCTAAGCCGATTGGTATACTTTAAGGTGGGTCTAGGACGAATATTTTTGTATGTTACAAACATCAGCACAAATCCAATATACCCTCCCCACTAACGTGGTGTAGGGTATAATAAATCCAAAACACATGATTTTTATAATAAGGTGTTCTTTAAGACAGAACTTTTTAGTACTTTTCTTAATGTCTCTCATATAGTACTTTTTGAATTTTCTAATATATTCTAACTAGAAACATAAATTTGAACATGTATGACCTTGACTGAATAATAATCTGTAAGTGGGTACTCTTCGGTACTTTACCATTCTTCAAATGGTACCTTTTGGATTCCCTACAATGGGGTAGTGGAATACAGGACACAGTGACCTTATTAAATGAGAATTTATTGAGAGAGATTTTAGTATATTTTCGTTTTTTAGATGGTACTTTTTGAAGGTTTTACAATATTGAACATAGAAATATAAAATTTAACATTAATGTCTCTCAAATGGTACTTTTTGAATATTCAACCTAGAAACATAAATTTGAACAAGCATGGTCCTGACTGAATAATAATCTGGACTTTTTGGTACTTTACCATTTTTCAAATTGTAGCTTTTGGATTCCGTATAATGTGAAAACGGGTCCTTATTAAATGAGAATTTATTGATTGAATGAGAATCTCTAAGATGTATTTTAAAGTACTTTTTCCTACTTCAAATAGTACATTCGAAATTTTCTATAATGTGGAAGCTAAACGAATGAAAATAAAAAAACACACTCCTGTTAAAAATTTCTATAAAAATATAATTTTGTTTGTATTGTATTCTGGTTAGGGTAGCGAAGCACCCAGGGTATTCTAGTATTTCAATATTTGTGACTTAGAATCACTTTCTGAGTAGATTTAACGATGTCCGTCCGTCCGACCGACCGTCCATGTAAGCGTTGTTATAAAAGTACAGGTTGCAATTTTCAAGATAATATGATGAAATTTGGCACAAAGTCCTATGTCATAAGATGCCAGAGTTGAACGCTATTTGAAACGGTTGAAATCGGTCAAATATTTCACCAAGACCCTATACCACCAAATCCCCGAATAGGACCTTTAAGCTCATAATTATCTTAAATGTTATTATATCGCAACAAAAATCGCCAAAAATTTGTTTTATAGAAGTCTAATACTGGCTATTTTCGTTTTGATTGGGCCTCATTTGACCCTAGCCCCTTTGCAAAGACTCCTTCTGAA